ATTAGAAGTATTTTATTTTATTTTAATTCCAGTATAGTTAAGATGCAGTGTTATATTAGTTCTAGGTGTACAATGTAGTGATTCAAGAGTTCCATATATTACCCAGTGTTCATCATGACAAGTGCACTCCTTAATCCCCATCCCCTATTTCACCTATCACCCCACTCCCTCCTCCCCTCTGATTGGCCATCAGTTTGTTCTCTATAGTTAGTTAAGAGTCTGTTTCTTGGTTTGTCTCTCTCTCTTTTTTTTTCCCTTTGCTTTTTGTTTTGTTTCTTAAATTCCACATATGAATGAAATCATACTTTTTTGGTCTTTCTCTGCCTGACTTATTTCGCTTAGCATATTCTCTAGCTCTACCCATGTAGCCTGTAGTTGCAAATGGCAAGATTTCATTCTGTTGATCTGTCTTCCATTGCTTTAATTTGCAGGGGCCAGCTACAGAACCTAAGAAAGTAGAGGAAAAGATTTTCCTCCCCACCACATATACAATGGACTATTATTGAGCCTTAAAAAAAAAAAGGAAATTCTGACTCATATTATAACATGGATGAACCTTAAGAACATTATGCTAAATAAAATAGTCACAAAAAGAAAAATACTGTATGATTCCATTTATATGAAGTATCTAGAGTAGTCAAATTCATAGAAACAGAAAGAATGGTGGTTGCCAGGACGTAGGAGTAGGGGGAAATGAGGAGTTGTTTAATGGGTACAGAGTTTTAGTTTTGCAAGATGAAAAAGCTCTGGATATTGGTTACATAATCATGTAGACAAATGTAACGCTTCTGATCTTAGAAATAGTTGAGATGGGAAATTTTATATTATGTGATTTTTACCAAAATAAAATAATAATTTAAAAAATTAAGTGACATTAAAATAAGATACTTTCTGAATTTTTAAAATTATATATAATTTCTAATACTTACCTACACTGCTGAGAAACATGGTAAGATATAGAATCCTAATAGATATCCATCGGCTCTTATAATGTTCTTCAGTTTCTATAATATCCCATTCTCTAGGATTAAAGAAGAAAAAAGTAGTATAATGTTATCTCAGTATGTACAATTTTATTTTCTCTCTCCTAAAGTAATTAAAAAGATATGACAGAGGTATAATTTACTAATATTGGTTCTTGCTGTACTAATTATCTATGAATAAGCATTATTTCTTTGAATTTCAGTAGGTTATATTAATGCATCACTATACACAGAAACTTGGGAGACATCAGATAGCTTAAAAAGGCATAACATTTTGTCAACTAATTATTTTGCTATCATTGACCTGCTACAAATCGAGTGTTGGAATTTGTTAAACTGACAAAATAAATAAAGTATATCAAAATAAATCAAACTAGCTACAACAACTAGATCTCCTATGGATGGGATATACAACTATTACATATTTTAAAAAAATAATTACTATCATCATTATGACATGTTTCTACTTGATAACAGTAAATTGACTTTGCTGCAGGAAGCTATTTTGGCTAGGTACTTTCAGCAAAATTAATGTAGAAGTGACACCAGAAAAGTTTGATGTGACATTCCTAGGCCTGGGACCTCTAGAACACTTGCCTTTGCTCCAACATGGGTTACCAGACAAGTTCTATTAGTGGACTAAAGAGAGTCCAAGGTCCTTCTAGACTGGGTTGATCTTTCATATAAGCCTATGACCTGGAGTAAAGGCAAGTATATTAAGCATACATCTTACTTCAGTCAGGTGATACATGAGGGTGTGTATGGTTTCATTACATTCTCACATTCACATACAGAAAGAGTTAATAAATTTACCTTAATATGAGCTTTATGTTTTCAAAGAATTAAGACAAACACAACAGACAAAATGTCTTCTTATGTTCTAAAGTTATTTTCTAAAATAGACCTTAGAGCTGTCAAAGTTGTCTTCAAAGAGAAACTTTTCAAAAAAGAAACTTTTTTTTTTTTCAAAAGTGATGTGATTGGGAGTGGTAGAGCGAAGGAAGACAGCTAACATTAATTAGATCTACTATGTGCCAGGTATATTAGCTGCTGATATAATATATATGAAGTTCTTAATACTATATATGCCATTCCATAAAAATAGACTTTTCACCATAATGTAGCATACTTGAAAAATAGCAGAACCCCAGGGGCACCTGGGTGGCTCAGTTGGTTAAGCAACTAACTCTTGATTTCAGCTCAGATCATGACGTCAGGATTGTGAGGTTGAGCCTCATGTGCGGCTCCTCCCTGGGTTCTGCACTGGGTGTGGAATCTGCTTAAGATTCTCTCTCTTCCTTTCCCTCTGCCCTTCCTGCCCTCTCCCCAGTCTAAAAACCAGAACCCCAGATGCTCATACTGATCATTCTTGACTTACAATGGGGTTACCTCCCAAAAAACCCATTGTAAATTGGAAATACATTAAGTCGGAAATGCATTTAATATACCTAACCTACTGAACACCATAGCTTAACCCAGCCTACCTTAAACATGCTCAGAACACTGACATTAGCCTACAGTTGGGAAAAATCATCTAACACAAAGCCTGTTTTATAACGAAGTGTTGAATATCTCATGTAATTTATAAAATACTGTACTAAAAGTGAGAAACACAATGGCTGTATGGGTACAGAATGGTTGAAAGTGCATGGGTGGGTTATGCTGGTGATCAAGTGGCTGACTGGGAACAGTGGCTCACTGCCACTGTCTAGCACTGCAAGAGAGTAGCCTATCATGCATCACTAGGCCAGGAAAAGATCAAAATTCAAAATTTGGAGCATGGTTTCTACTGAAAGCATATCCCTTTTGCACCATTGTATAGTTGCAAAATCATAAGCTAAGCTATCATAAGTCGGGGACCATCTATTTGGAAATCAATAACCTGGAATCTGGAATAAATAATGCAGATAATTACATATCAGCAAAAGGTATCCACCATTCATTCCCACAGCACTGGATTCTGGTATTACTTTCCAGCATTGGGTATTATATTTTTAATGAATACATTATTATTTCCTGGATATCAGAAATTAAGATGACGGGGCGCCTGGGTGGCTCAGTCGTTAAGCGTCTGCCTTCAGCTCAGGTCATGATCTCGGGGTCCTGGGATCGAGCCCCGCATTGGGCTCTCTGCTCAGCTGGGAGTCTGCTTTTCCCTCTCCCACTCCCCCTGCTTGTGTTCCCTCTCTCGCTGTCTCTCTCTAATAAATAAATAAAATCTTAAAAAAAAAAAGAAATTAAAATGACCATCACTTATAAGAACTATCATTAAAGTAAGCCTGAAAATTTCAAATAACTATTTTGCTCAGATCTTTTTTTTTAAAGATTTTATTATTGGGGCGCCTGGGTGGCTCAGTCATTAAGCATCTGCCTTCGGCTCAGGTCATGATCCCAGGGTCCTGGGATCAAGCCCGGAATCGGGCTCCCTGCTCTGCGGGGAAGCCTGCTTCTCCCTCTCCCACTCCCCCTGCTTGTGTTCCCTCTCTCGCTGTATCTCTGTCAAATAAATAAATAAAATCTTTAAAAAAAATTTTCTTCTTTTAATGACAGCTATTAAATATTGAAGGGATGACAGATTTAGAAAATTGCTATTTAATAACTACTCTCCATGTAATAATGGATGAAAGAAAGAATAATTGAGGGGTGCCTGGGTGGCTCAGTCAGTTAAGCTTCTGCCTTCGGCTTAGGTCATGATCCTGGGGCTGCAATCGAGCCCCAGTCAGGCTCCCTGCTCAGCACGGAGTCTGCTTCTGCCTCTCCCTCTGCAGCTCCCCCTGCTTGCACTCTCTTGCTCTCTCTCTCTCTCTGTCAGATAAATAAATAAAATCTTAAAAAAAAAAAAAAAAGAAAGAAAGGATAATTGATGGATCCTAAAACAACTGGTTGAAAAGTTGTTGAGAACAGGATAGTCACAGGGTCTCAAAGCATCAGCCCACTGGCTACTTTCTAATCCCAAAATGGAAAATGAGGCTTTATAATCAAGAGATACAGCAGTCACCCTCTTAACCAAGTGGTTAAGCTTGGCAACCCAATAGTGGGATGGCTGCGCATCTGATGCCTCCTTACTTTACTATATTGGGACATTCTCAACATAACCTATGGGATGTTCTTGCCAGAAATGACTGCCCAGGATCTATTAAAAAAGAAACAGGCCAAAAATCCAGAATGTGAGATGTTCTACAGAAAACGACCTAGAATTGTCAAAAGATTCAATATTGGAAAGAACAGAGAGAAAAGATCAGGGGACAGTTATCAGTTGAGAGAGTCTAAACAAATACAACAATCAATGCATGACCACTAATTGGATCCTGTTTTTTTTCTTTTTTAAAGATTTATTTATTTGAGAGAGAGAGAGAGAGCACGAGTGCGTGAGTGGGGGTTGGGGCAGAAAGAAAGGGAGAGAATCTCGAGCCAACTCCCCGCTGAGCATGGAGCCTGACATGAGGCTCGATCCCACCACCCAAGATCATGACCTGAGCTGATGACCCCGAGATCATGATCTTAGCCAAAATCAAGAGTCGGACATTTAACCGACCACCCAGGTGTCCCTGGATCCTGTTGTTGTTGTTCTTTTCAATAGCCATAAAGTACATTTTTGGAACAACTGAAAAAAACTTGAGTATAGACTGTATACTGCATGGTATTTTGAATTAGTATTGTATTTTTAGCTATGCCAATAGTGATGTAGTTGTGTAAAAGAATGTTTTTGTTTTGAGAAGATGCAGGCTACAGGGGCACGTGGGTGGTTCAGTTGGTGAAGTGGCCGACTCTTGGTTTGGCTCAGGTCATGATCTCAGGGTTGTGAAGTCCGGCTCTGTACTCAGTGGGGAGTCTTCTCTCTCTTCCTCTCCCTCTGCCCCTTCCCATTGCATGCATGCGCTCTTTCTCTCTAAAAATAAATAAATAAATCTTAAAAAAAAAAACCCAGAAGATGCAGGATGCAGACTGAAATACCTGGGATAAAGTGTCATGATATCTGCAACCTGCTTTTGGGAAGTTTGGCAAAAGAAGGGTGTGTGGGTACACAGAAAGAAATCCAAGCAGTGTGGAAAAGGCTAACAGTTAGTGAAAGGGTATACAGGTGTTCATTGTACTTTTTTTTCAACTTTTCTATGGATTTGAAATTTTTCAAAATAAAGAATTTTACTTTTTCCTTCTTTTTAATTCAAAAGTATAATTTTGGTGAAGAAGTGCATCTTTCTACTCTGTTGGAGAGAGTAGGAACATAGGAGAATGTAACTGTCCTTCAGTCAAGTTACCATTTTTTTTTTAAAGATTTATTTATTTGAGAGAGTGAGAAGAGAGAGAGAGAGAGTACATGAGAGGGGGGAGGGTCAGAGGGAGAAGAAGGCTCCTCGCCGAGCAGGGAGCCCGATGCGGGACTCGATCCCGGGAGTCCGGGATCATGACTTGAGCCGAAGGCAGTCGCTTAACCAACTGAGCCACCCAGGTGCCCTCAAGTTACCATTTTTTAAATTTTATTATTATTATTAT